GAGGAGGAGCAGTTGTCCGACGGCTACAACATGACAGTCGTTCAGGATAATTCGACCGAGGTTTTCGATTATTCAACTCGGCCTATGAAAGATGGTCTAAACAGCACACTCCCTTCTTCAACCTACCCTACACCATTACCTTCCACAAGTCCCTCTACACCCAAGTCAACTATAATCGCAGCCTCACCCACTAGTACCCTATTTGACAATCCACATTTCGACTCCAGTCTTCGAAAATGGGTTTATTCATTCGATGACTTCCTACCGTACCCCTCCGTCTACTTCCCAGTTACAGTCGTTGCAGGAAAGTATAGACCACGTCTTCGTCTACAACGCAGTCTTAGCGAGGTGTCGGTGTTTAGCCGAGGCGAAAATCTACCAAATGGTTATACACATATAGTAGAGGTGAGCATTCAATATGATGAATGATCTTAAATAGAATTTTCCACAGTGTACACAGTGTAACCACACATCCCACAAGTTCAAAACAACTGGTTAAAGCTACCCGAGTTGGTTTTGTGGACTTTAGGGATAGCGTACGATTACACTATGAGCTTGAAATTGCTACCCTCTTAAACTGCAAAGGGAAATACCCATTCTAAATTTTTATTTCAATCAACAAATCGTGCTCAGGCTTGGATTCCTATTTTAGGCGCTCCCTCTCGAAAATGGTCACATCATCCGAGTACCTGATCCAGCTAGCATCGATGTTCTAGTCGAATTCTCATTTCTGGTTAGAAAAGATGGTCGGGAATGTCAACGTCTGTGCCTCCACAGAAGACGCTACGTATCTTGCAAACATGCTACCGTGCGCTTGAGCAAATATCCAGCATTTTCAGAGAGATTGACCTACTTTAAGGCATGACAAATTCATCTGATGGTGTATTTATCCCAATTTTCTCACTTTCAGACGCCTCGCCAAGTCATCGACCACCTATTCAAAGGCGCTGGCTACTTCCGACGACGTAAACAAGATGCTTTTCTATTTACATGTCCAACTAGTGTATGATAACTATTTATAGTGGAATAAACATGGTAACATATTTATCAGTTCACAGTCCGACAAGAAGATTACTTCAGCTTTTTCTTAATGCGCAAGTCATTCGAATGTCCGCACTTCTTCTTTCTGCAGTTCGAGGCACGAGGAGGCAATCGAGCATAGCACTTACGGCAGATCTGCTTGTCGCAGTTGTATTTCTGAGCAAGCTGACGAAGAGAAGGCTCGATGATACCTGACATCATGATACCAAATGTAAAAATTGTTAAAGAAAAGTAAGAGTACAGAAGAAAAACGCAGAAATATCGCGTAACCTCCTCAACAGTTTCTGCAACTACTCCATTTTTCACAACAAAAAAATGAGGTTACTTTACCTCCACGAAGGCGGAGCACAAGGTGAAGAGTGGACTCCTTCTGGATATTGTAGTCGTTGAGCGTGCGACCGTCTTCGAGTTGCTTTCCTGTGAAAAACTAAGAATGAGGGCCTTGTTAGATAGGTCAAGGAAGTTATTTAAAATAAAAAACCATTGATATGTCTGCTATCCCGTTAAGAGCAAAGAGCCCAGCCCTCATGTATTTATTTTCAAGGTCTTAACAAAAAGTACTCAAGCGATAGTAATTTTAAAATTCTGTTGAAAATCTTGGTGATGATGGTATGAAAAGAAAAACACATAGAACACATTCCTGGAGAAATAAAATTCTTTCCTAGAAATACATACCTAAAAAGCTATCAACCTGAATATCCTACTTACGTCTATTTTAAAAAAAA